TGTTTAGTTAAAGAATTAATAAAAGGATTAAAAGGCTTGCGAAGCAAAGTTAAAATAGAATAGTTTTAAGGTGTTTTGGGGACTAATGTGCCAATTGTTTTTACTAACATTAGGTAAGTATTATGAGCAGTTTTTAATTGTTAAAATTAGTTTATCAAATTAAATTACTGCATGGTTTGACCAAACTTAATTTAATACGAAAAAGGTTCACAAAAATTATATTTTCGAGTTCCAAAACAACAAAGATTCAATGCAGAAAATCTTTTTAAAGATTGAACTTTCTTAAAGAATTTTACAAATCTTCTAGGTTGTAAAATTCATTTCTCACTTAACTCCTGTTGAATGTAACTTGAGGTTTCTTGATTATAAAATGTAATCAATTGCATCAAAGTGTAAAACTATGGTTAGATAGAAAAATTTTTGTAACTTGAAGATGAAGATCCAAAGGCTCCATGGAGATTTAGGGAGATTACCAGCAAAGCTTGAAGATGATGTTTATGTAAATCCCCTAGGAATTTGACCAACTAATTTCCTTAATGGCACGAGGAAATTAGAATTAGTAAAGTCCATAATCATTCTTGTAGTTGGCATGAGATAGATTTATTTTTCAATATATATATATATATATGATATATGGGAAATGCAATAAATGCTATGCATGTCAACAATGCCAAATCAATGAGACCTTAATTAATGAATTAATAAATAAAAATCACTTATTAATATATTGAGTTAAAAAGTTACCTTCCACCATATACTAAGATAACTAGGCTGCTTTTTTAATTGAAGGCTTATTAAGTCACTCAAGGCCAAACTTTTATATGAGTATGTTTGAGTTGTTGGTGGGTCTTACTCAACTAGGACCATGTTGTTTGAATGTGTCACTCATGACTGCATAGTACTAGAGGCATAGTTACAAAAAATGTATATGATACATTTAGATAAGATGTTATCACTTAACTGATCTAGGAGTTGTATAAGATACAATTGGTAAGCTAAGTCACCTACCTAATTAGTTTCATTATCACTTGTTGAGTCACTCAAGGTCATGGTGGGATGAAAAGGGTCTTAACTCAAAAAGAAGTTTAAAAGTCAAATTTCTCAAAATAGTAGAGGAGGGTTATTATTTTTATAAAATATTGAGAATAATCATAAAAGATTTTAAAACCTTGTCTTTATGAGTATATAATTTGTGTTAATGACTGATAATCATATATTGTGGTTTATATAGGATATAATCATCATGGTGAATAGTTTGTCACTTAGAAGCATAGTTGTAACAACCTCTTCCCTTGATCGTTACTGGCATCCAAGACTTGTGAGTAAACCCGCCAAGTCCCGAACAAGCCTTAGTCAACTTCTAGACAATTTAAACTCAACTCACGATTTTAATGCCATAGCTCATTTAAAC